ACGTCATTTTGAAAAAAATAAAGGACCATTCAACGCCAAGAGCTTTGCCCTCGCGGAGTTTTCTTTTCAAGACTGTGAATTGTAACTATTGGAAGAGAATACCTTAATTAGGATGAAGAATGCCAGAGTAGGCTAACAGGCAATCTAAATGCTCTACTTAGGAGAGATCTACACTTCATGTTATGCAAAGAGCATGTAAATGGAACAGTTGGATCTGCAATTGCAGAAAATGAATGCAACGTTAAGTGGGGCATCTGCAAGATGTAGTTCGGTAACGGAGGGATCACGTTTTCACATAAAATCAAAAATTTGTCGTTATTATAATCAAGAAGTACGATAATACCAGTCATTTTTCCCTGTAAAAGTTACCATTGAAAGTATCAGCTAGTTTCCTGTTAAGCATAGGATTAATTGCATTCTTTAAAAGTACTAGCCTTTGCAAAATTTTCTCACTCATGGCTTCTTTTCGCGATAATAGCCGTAGATTTTATATGTATACTGAAATCTTTTTTCCGATGGTATTGAAAGCAATTTTGGGAAATTGTTTTGCGATTATTTGATTTCTTGAAGAATTTAAAGGCTGTTTTCCAAATCTGATAAAATTACAGAAAGCCAACGATTTTAAAATGTTAAATCCCGACTATTTGGTAGTAGGAGAACCAACAGAGATGAAATTTGCAACTATTCAGAAGGGTGCGTTAAAGGTAGGTGAAGAATATTATTATCTGAACCGTTCTGTTACTCTCTGAAGAGTAATTTTTAGGTTGATATTAAATGTAAAGGAAAAGCTGGCCACTCTGGTTATCCTTCAGAAGGCGAGAGTGCCATACATAAGCTAATTCCTATTCTTAATGATATACTCAATTACGAATGGCCAAGCGATGATAAATCAGGCATGGAATTTTTTGATTTTTAAGTTTCAATTCATTTCTACTCTTACAAAAATTTGAAATTGTGACTTGTTTCATGTAAAGTTTCTCCTAAATTTCTGATCGAAAAAAAAGATAGATAACTTTTAAGT